ACTTTGACTGACGAATCAAGGTCGATTGTACCGAAATAGATGACTGCACAATAAGCCTTTTCTGAAGCGTCACAGAAAGCATGGGTATCTATCACTACTGCCTTCGGACTCAAGACATACCTCGGAAATTGTAAGCTTGAAAGTAAGGGCAATTCTAGATAGAAACGCTTCCATTTTCTACTTATTCTCTTATCAACGAGTTCATCCCAACCGAGCTGTAAGTTTCATAACTCTTGTAATAATATTTTCGCGTATATTATTGTTGGCGCTAACCATCCCATCGGATCAAAGATTTTGGCTACTTCTGATAAAATAGTCCTCTTAGTAAACTCTTTATCACTTATGCATACCGAAAAATGAAACGTATCACTAGAGTTGTTCCAATTAATTCCCAATACTTTTACTTTCTTGTCACTGTTTATTTCAAGAGAAATACTGGATTCTCGTAAGCACTCGGGAATATTCTCCAAAATAGCTGAACTGAACTGTTTGAAATCCACTTCCTTAAGCGAAAAATCCACCCCTTTTCATCATTTCATTCAACTGCTGAACTAGAACATTCGCTTCCTTCCTCTTCACTTTGTGCCCCTGAAAGCAAATCATCAACATAAAAATCACGAAGGGCAATTTTTGATGCTAAAGGAAATCTCACTTGTTCATCTAATGCAAGTTGTTTCATTACTCTAGTAGACAAATATGGCGCACAGGCAGTCCCAAATGTAACTGTCACTAATCTAAATGTACTCAAGGGCTCACTAGGACTATCCCTCCAAAGCATTCGTTGCCAATTTTTATCTTCTGGGTGGACACGAATTTGTCTGAACATCTTCTCTACATCGGCACATACTGCAATTTTGTGAGTTCTAAACCGTAGAAGAATTGGAAACAGCTCTTGCTGAACTCTTGGCCCAACCATCAAAATATCATTCAATGAAAGACCCGATGTCGTTTTAGCTGAAGCATCGAAAACAACTCTCAGTTTAGTCGTAGTACTTGATTCCTTTAATACGGCATGATGAGGCATGTAATACGTAGAGTCAATAAGAATCTCTCCCTCAGGCACTCCCTCCATATGTCTCAGCTCAAGGTATTCCCTCATGAAATCCTTATACTGTTCATATATCTGAGGCCTTTTTAGAAGTGAATTTTCTAAAGATTGGAATCTATGCATAGCTAATTGTCTGGAATCTCCAAGCTGAGAAGGCGGAGAGTGAAACGGTAATTTCACAGTATATACCCCACTTTCCTCTCTCATATATGTAGATCTGAAATAATCTTCACATGCTCTCTCCGATTTAGTAAGCATGTCAAACGTAGGTACAGCATCCAATTTCCAAAAGTCAGACAGCATCTGATCAGTTTCCACTTGTATATTATTAACATAGATAGTAGGATTAATTTCTGTTGAATTATTCACACTACCTGAAATAATCCATCCTAGTTCAGTACGAGAAGCTACCGGTTTACCTTCTTCGCATTTAATTATTTCTCCCTTTAAAAGAGGTAAGGCAATATCTACGCCTAAAAGTATATCAACAGGCCCACTTTTGTAAAATGTTGGATCTACTAACATTAAATCATTATATTCCTCAACGTACTTCTTATCCAATGCATATAAAATATATATAAAATGCGGCAAAGTTCCAATAATTCTATTGATGATAAATACTGGTGTTTTAAATGATACTTTCGCCGGAAAATGCAGAACGAAGTTTATTTCCGTAATTCCATTAGTTTTCATATCCAAAGACCCTAAACATGAAATAAAAACTTTGGCATTTCTTCTTGCTAACCCTAGCCTTTGTACACAATCTTCTGAAATCATATATTTTTATAAGCAACTTACATTCCTTATCCACTAGGACAACAATGCTCTAGTATAAAGAATAAAAATATATGTAAATATTACTTGACTGCCAGGGTCAAGGAGGGTTCTACACAATTGGTATTCACCCGATGAATCTAACACTTTAATAACAGCCGTACATAATAAAACTTCATTCTGAAAATTAAAGTCTGAAACACAAGATTTAATTACTGGACTAGAACTTGCCATATTCTCCCCTGACCCAGCCGATTGAGCGCGAGGTTCTGGCCCAGGGAAAAATGGCTTAGCCGTCACTGATAATTCATTCGAACTGTTCATAACTCCTTTACGTGCCTTTGGTTCATTTTGAACTCTTTCGAAATGCAGTAGTGTGTGATGATTTTTAAAGCACTTTTTACATTTATGTGTACACTCGAAAGCTTTATGATTTGAAACCAAACAATTAAAACAAACATTATTTCTCTTGACAAAATTAACGCGTTTCTGAACATTCAAATTTAAAAACTTATTACATTTAAAAACTGAATGACCGGCTTTACAATACGTACACTGCGCGCGAATCTCTGAAGCCAATGAAGTTAATTTGTCTTTTGTAACTTGTTTTTTAACACCTTGCGTTTTACCTGCTTGCAAGGTTCTGGCATGATATTTCAAGAACTCTAGCAGATTATTAAGTGTTGGTATTTCCTCACTCTTTATTGTTCTTTCCCACCATCCTCTCGTCGAAGAATCCAATTTAAACTGTACTATTAACATTAAAATTGTATCCGCGAATTGCTCCACTTTGAATCCTAGATTTTCAAACGAACATACACTCTCTTACAGTGTCTACTAACGCTAATATCTGACTAGGAATTTCAGATTGTAAATTTGATAAATACAAGATTTTCTTTAATAACGATGAAAGTAATTCTCTCTTATGTGAAAATGTTTGACACAATAAATGCCACGCTATTTCGAAATTCCTGTCACAAATAGTTAAAGCTTGAACAATCCGCAAAGCATCTCCTTTTAAAGAACCCTTTAAATATTGTAGCTTTTGTGCACCTGATAAACGGTCATTATCCACTATCGCCGTTTTAAATAAATCAGAAAATGATAACCATTCTTCAGTACTGCCACTAAATACAGGAAGAGTTTTAGCTTAGGTAAGCGTATACTCGCTATTTCACAAGATTTAGTTTCCACACTAATGTCTTTAACATTCTTAACTCTGGTTAGCATTAAAATTAACTCATCAACAGTATCTTGTATGACCTGTTGTTCTTCTATAAATACATCAATATCTTTTTCTTCACACACTACAAATATGTTACTAAAAATATCCGAAAGTTCGGTCATTAAATTATTTAATCTAGATTTAAAAAGTTCTAACTGATCAACATCAGCAGAATCGTAAGTCACTGTAATTTTCTCTTTCAGTTTACTTAACTGAGCTTTAGCTACACGCTTTTTAGTCTTAAGCGTTGTAAATTCCATTATCTAATAAGAAAGATAAAAAAAACCACACTGACTCACCAAATTTACTGCGACTCCGTAGCTGACGGACCAAAAACCATGTACGATCCGTTGTTAAAAATAGTGGACTGTAAATTGACTTGATATTACTTCAGTATAGAACCCAAAAAACCTCAGAATCATAACGTTGACCGAAACTTCTTTATTGACTTTCAAAGTAAGTTAGTTGAGGAACGGCGAAGACCACACTGCCAACTCCGAACTGAGTAGCGGCTTACCAACACAAACTCAGAAAACCTCTGCTTAGTTGAAACTCCAGTAATTCACAGCAACCTCAAAGCTCTAAACGCGAGCTTTAAAAACCTAACAAATTTGCGTCTGCGCCGCTCCTCGGTACAAAGAAAGAAATACAATTTGCATAACATCGAACAATAGCATTCCTCCCTGAAACTATGAAATTTTCCCTAAGGAGAGAATTTCCCTTGATGAGATATCCTGGTCTAAAGGAAGGTGATATTTTTGTACAGGGTTGTTCTAAGATAATGTAGAAATGCTCTAAGGCAAGATAGAAACTTGCTTACATTTGCGTTATACCCAGGAAGAATTTGGAAATGCACATTCAGTCACTTTCTTTTGCTTGAATGCGATTTTTTTATAAGCAACTTACATTCCTTATCCACTAGGACAACAATGCTCTAGTATAAAGAATAAAAATATATGTAAATATTATATTTTGTTTATCTCTATATTGGTATACATCCTTTGTTTGCAAGATATTCCTCTGTGTGCCAATGTCAATAGACAAAGGTATTTATGAACTAATAAAAAAGCGAAAATTATTTTAAAAGATCGAAAATTTGTAAATGAAATAGCATTAAAATGATAAAAACTATTTTGGTATAAAAATATTATAATAATAAAATTATCTCCTTGTAAATGAGAATATTAAGAAAACAGTACAAAGGCTAAATTCGCGTATAGTGCTTTACTTTTCCAAAACTAATAGCAGTTTCTTCTTGACCGAAAGCCGCTCCGATAACATCAACCGTCAAATTGCCGATATAATACGTAATATGTTATATATTACTTATAGTACTATAATATACTGTAATTATATGTAAAAGTAAGCCAGGAGAAAATGACACGGGAGAGCTTGTCTTGTTATTTCTAGCACTCTCTCAACAAGCAAAATATCCTGCTTGTTGTGTGCATATGAGGATAGATAGGAACATTAGCATTTTTACTTATTTTTCTCATATTGTTTACATAAAAACACTAGTACTATTTATGCCCTCTATCTTGATAATAACTAGTGAAAGCAGAGCTGAGATGCCGGAAAATAAGAAGAAACATAGTTATCAGACACTGTTAAAAAGTAAAATAGGTTCCTAGGAACCGATTTATAACAAATGTTGTTTTACAACAGATTAAAAGTTTTTTTGGTTTTTGCTATTTCAAGATCAGGAGAATAATCTGTGAATTTTTCGGTCTGTTACAAACTCCAAAAAAGCTTCCAGTGTTGCATTTATTTAAAACAAAATATGTATAATTGAGCAGCACTACAGTTCGAACCTGCTTTATTGGAGGGGCAGCTACAGTGTGTTAGTTACACTGATTTATGTTTTTACCAAAATATCCAAAAATCATACCATTTCATTTATAGATTTGTAATACCTCTTTAAATTATATTAATATATTTTTTGTATTCTTTCAGATATGAAAATTGAGGATGTCGACTTAGTCCGACCAACTGAAGGTATATTTGTTACGGTTAATATTATTGTTACGGTTAATATTATTTTTGCTTTTTAAACTACCTGACTTCTTAACTTAACTTAGTGCCGCGACAAAGAAAAAACAACACTACTCGCATTAAAAAAATATCTGAACTAGTGATTGCAAAACTACGATTTTCAGGTAGACTGAATTACATAAATCATCAACACAGTAAAATAAAGTTTATCAGATCAACGCTCATACCCTTTAAGTCAATAAATAAAGGATAACATCCTCCCTTGTGTTTCAAATAAAAAGATAATTTTCAAAAATCAGAAGATCATTTATCGAATAAAAGTGTGAAATGCATTTCTGTAACAAATTCATCAACACGCTACCTCTCTCTGAAATAAAACTATATCAGCTGTCCTTCCTGAAAACACATAAATTTAAATGCAACCATAGAAACTATATCTCACAAGTAAGAAGTTAAAATATCAGTTCAGTTAAATTAAGTAATCAGATAGTATAGTAACAACACAATTAATTTTTCTACTATTACCCAAATTCAAGTTGAAGAGAAATAGCATGTTTTTGGTAAGGATCACATGAGTGACCTACAGTAGACCACAAGATAAAACTCAAATAACGCATACAATAATAAATCAATAAAAGCATTTATTAAATATTCCCAAAAAAATTTAATCTTAGATAGCTGCGATTACTAGATCCATGTTCCTACAACATTTTTCTCTTATTGCCTAAACAACACGCATTTCAATTTCCTAAGACAAAATAATTCTCATTTGAAATAATGAACAAGTTATCTTCTGACAATTAGCAGTTAATTAAACTAATTGGTGTAAAACTGAATGCACATTAATTCAGTGAAAATTTCTTTTTAAGAAAGATTATTCCCCCAATTAAATTTAAATTATTATTCATCTCAATTAAATCTTTTTAACAACTTTCTCAAATTAATGATTAAATAACCAGCAAACACAACAGTCCAGTCTGCGGGACTCTGGGAGCTGCTGGACAGTTTCTTTACTACATAGAAACTATAATAAGTCCAAATCCTCTCGAAATCACCAATATAAAGTCTGCACAAAGCATTCCGTTTAGATACTTCTTCCCCTTTTTTTATACTCATTGTTCCCTCACAGTACTCTATCTATAGAAGTTTATCACATAACAGCTTTTCCTTTTAATGGCACTCCAGAAGTCTAGTTGAGACGAATATCCGCAAACTTCAATATTCTCAATGAAGACAAGTGCAAGCCGCAGCAAACTGTTGATGACGACCTTCCCGCTTAATAAAACTTTCCTCATCAGTAATCTGGATCATTTTTCAACAACAACAAAAAAAAAAAAAAAAAAAAAAAAAAAAAAAAAAAAAACATCAGCGACGAAATCAAAACCAAAGAGGTGCTGGTCAAGAAAAACGCGGGACCTAGCCCCAGATCTTCAGTCATATTTACCGACGAGTCCCGCAGCATGCAAACCACGGGGAGGCGGTACCTGGACCCGCAAACCGAGGTCGGCCCTAATTCACACAAATAATACTACGGCCTATTTCCTCATTTGCTTATTTTCTCTAATGTTTCTAAACGCCAGTTTAATGCTCATAATATTCCTTGTGAAGAGACAGATAGAAGTTACAATTTTATTACCCATATATTTAGTGATTGGATATAAATAAAAGCAGAAGTGGTATTATGAGTTTGTATGGATAAGGCTTCAGTGTTAAGTGAAATAACAGAAGTTGTAAAAAGATAGTGTAAAGCTATTAAAATGAACCCTTTTAGGTATATCATATTTAATGAGTATGACATTTTTCTGAATGCGTATTTTGGCTTCAAGAATGAATTGCGACAGGAGGAATTCCAGCTTGGTATTTCGTAAGGAATTCTACAAATACACTCCCCGCCCCTGAAAATGCATCACCGAGAATGTATGACAAGAAAGTGATGAAACTAGACAAATAGAGAAAGACAGAATTGAAAAATAAGTGATCTTTATTTCGAAATGAAATGTGTAATACAGAGCGAGAACAGCGTCGGCTCAGTGGGTTGTAGGACCACTTTGGACGGCGATGTACACAGCGACAGATCTAGGTACGGAGTCAGTGAGTCTACGGAATGTGTCCTGAGGAATGACTCTCCATTCCCGTCAACCATTTGCCACAGTTCGTCGCAATAGCAGGCAATAGCAAGGTCTGTAACTGGCATGCACTCGCATCGCAGACATGTTCGATTGGTGAGAGATCAGAAAAGAGCGGTGGCCAGGGAAACATCTAAACACTTTCCAGAGTACTTTGCATCTAAACACACCTGCAGAGGCTGATGCGAGCAGTGTGTGGTAGGGCATTATCCTGCAGATAAAGGCCACTGAGAACTCCCTGAAGGTAGGGAAGTGTCACCAGTCGCAGCACATCATTCACTTATCGTTGGGCCATCATAATGCCCTGAATATGAAATAGAAGTGATCTAGAATCGCACGCAATAGCGCCCCAAACCATGATGCCGCGTTGTCGCCCGGTGGAGCGTTCCAATGTTGCTGCCGCATTGGAACCCTGTTTCGACATCGAAGCCACATTCACATGCGGTGATTATCATTAGAGAAACAGAAGCGTAACTCATCTGAGAACACGACGCTGTGCCATTCTGTTGTCCACATCGCTCGGACCCGCCACTATTGCAGACGTGGGCGTCTATGATGTGGGACCAATGACAGTCTTCTTAACGGACGCCACGAGTGGTAGCAACCTGCCACCAATGGTTCATCACCACCGGTAAATCGTTCTGGTCGATATGGAAACATCCAAGGGTGTCTTGAACGTGCTACAGAAGGGAGGTAGTAGTGTGTTGCGCGTGCACTACTGCTTGTCGGCGGATGGGTCGATCTACGCGTGCTGCACCAGCATCTCTTCAACTTGCCACATTTCTTTGTTCCAACCATCGTCGATACAGCCGGTGGGCTGTGGAGGAATTCAGGTGTGTATCAGCTCAGATTTGTTGTATGAATCGACCCGCGCTTCTCAGTCCGATCAACATGCCACTCGTAAAATCATCTGTCTTCTGAAATGTCTCCGTTGACGCCGGCCTGGCATCTTCTGCTACTACGCACGTGCTCTAAGACCAGAAAAGATTTTCTACAATGATTTTCGTAGCAGAAATAACGGCACGAAAGTTGAGCATTCTGCAGGTTATTTCCATTATATCTTCTTCAAAGTGCGCTGGAGAGCTGCGATTTTACATCATTCGCATAACTTGGTGACGTGCATTACCCTGAAATTTGCATAAATTTCTGGTCATTAATTCTTGGTGTTGCATTTTCAATGCAGGGTAGTGTATGAACGGAACGTTTGGTTTTTGTCCTTTAACAGTTGAAAAGGAAGTAGTAGATACACTTAATTTTGTTCTAAAGATTTAAGAATCTTTAAAAACATCAATACAGATTTTTAAGAAAGCGAAAATTAAGCACTGCAGATAAAGCATAATTATTGTATGTAATAGCCTTCTGAATTATGTAACGCACTCCATTTACATTTCTTTTGTTTCTATAAAACGTTTTGTTCATCTTAAAATTTTGTATATCACTTTGTTTTAGTCACTATGTTGGTATTTTACAGGAAAAGATGACTGGCAGCCAATGTTCAATAAAGGTACGATTTTATATTATAAATCATTGGCTTTATAAATCCAAAGTATGTTTTTTTAAAAATTGTGTAAATATATTAGAGAGTTAAAAGAACATTTGCTTGAAAATATTTTTCGGTTACATTTTCTAGCTCTTGCTATTAGCTAATATTAGCACCTTTACTGAAGAAAGGTTATGGAAGCATTTCTCATATTCCGAATCTAAATTAAGTTAAGGAAATAAGTTTTACCCGCAAAAGTTGAAATTTCGTTACAGTGAAGTTGATAATAAATTCAGACCGAGAGATGCATGTGACTGGCTCTTGACACATTGTAAAAATCAAGAACAAACATATACAAGGAATATAGCAAAACTTTGTTACGATGCCTTTATATTTTTAATTGATTCATGTACAGACTTAATATTTAACTTAAATTTTTATTATAAATAAAAAAACTTATGCTTTTTATCTATGAAAGTTTTTAATTTTACTTTAATTTGCAGGGAAAATAAACATAAAGTTTTACTTTTTTTTTTTCTGATATGGAATGAAAGCAAATGATTGTGTGGAATACATCCAAAGCAATATTTTTTTACAATTTTGTTTCAACTTTTATAAAATTATTGCTTTAACTTTGCTGTTGCAAAGTGAAAAACTGTCTTTTATTAAAAAAATAAAATTCCTTTATTTTTATGAACTCTTAAACTATAAGTGAATGATGAAAGTATCTAAAAAGGAAATACGTATGAAATGACATGAAATTTGGGGCAGAAAATTCGCAAAAGCAAAACATTGAAGCAAAACACTGAAAAGCAAACCAGACAAAAGATTTGAAGTAAACTATACATTCCAGTGCAAACCCATTCTTTAAAGTGTAAAGCTCTTACTGAAAGAAGGGAGTGAATCTCAATATGTCATATTATTTTATGCAAAAATGCACTTTAATTAATGAATGTCCTTGTCTTATTTTCGTTACAGTGTGATGACTTAATTCAGCTTTAACGTACTTACGTCTTTATCTATATACTATTACATTTGTTTTCAAATTTATTGATTTTTAAATATACTTAATTGCTTCAATTTCAAATTTTGCTTTTATTACACTCATTTTAATTAATGAACTTTTTTGTGTTTTAACAAATTTCATTTATATTTCCTAACATCCTTTTAATGGTATTAGAAAACGATAGTCACATTATCATGTATGCAATAGTTTTACTTGTTTTAAAAATTTATTTGCGCTAACCAACGAGTCAACAATTATTTTTTAAAAATTATACCAAATATTTGCTGTTTGGAAGGCAACGAAATATATTTTGATCCCAGTTACAAAATAATTAGCTTTTGAATTTCTTTTATTTGTTACTCTATATTTCTTTAGCGGTATTTCCTTATTTATGAACTTATAATAATAATCACTGCTAATAGAAATAATGCTCTTTTATAGGGTTAAAATATGGAGATATTTTGCTATCAAAGGAACAACTCGAAGAGGTATAGAAAACGAATGTGTTTCATATCACTTTTGTTTAATGTAATTCGCATTTGTTTGATATCATATAAATATCCTCTTAGGAACGTCAAGGTATTCGTCATGACGGAGGGTATAAATGGCCTAGAAACAAAGTTCCCTACGCAATTTCTAGCACATTCTGTAAGTACATTTATTTTCACGTAAGTTATATTTGACATTTTCGAAGCAAAGAGAACGCATATTTATGTAGCATTTGAATAGTCTTCTAATGAGTATCTGCATACTTTGAGTGTTAAAACAAATCCTTGAACATTTTTTATTTTCGGTTAAAAATAGAATTAATTAGACTTAAATCACAGTACAATAAATATTGCTTTTATAAAACAAGATTATCTAAAAATTTTTCAATAAATTATAAACTTTTTATTAGTTGATTTTGCTTTAAAATGGGCTTTGTACTTAATTAAAAATTGCAGTATATATCTTGTTTAATTCTATTAAATTACCAAATAAATGCAAAGTTGTGTTGTCTTATTATAGTAACCAGTTGTTATCTTACAGTATTAAAATTTAAAATAAAATACAGTATAAAATTTGGATCAATTTCAAGTTGTCTCTTTATATCTGCTTATTAATAATAGTTCTACTTTCGATTTAAATAAATAAACTATGCCTTGTATGCTTAGATGATTTATTAAATATTCATTCATTAACCGTAGATAATTGTAGGATCTTAACTTTTACGTCAGTTTTTGTTTAAGCAGTTTTTAATTTCAATTTAACCAAAAAATTAGTATTTCAAAATTGTTTCATGCTTTTATACTACAGTATAAGGTCATCAAACAATATGTAGTAATCTTGTGTTATCCGTACTTATTGAAATGGCCTATTTTTTTGAAAATATACATTGATATTTCATTACTGTGTTTGACAAAGCAAGTTTGTTCATATATTTGCGTTTGTTCGTGTATTTGTGTATATTTTGAGTATATTTGTGTTAGTTAGGAGAGTAAATATTGAAGATATTAGGAACGGAAAGAACGTCGAAAGAAATGTCTTTATTGTTAATAAAAATAATGAATTCATTGAATTAATATCTATATTGATAATTTTCAAAATTATTATAGGATTTTACTTCGCATGAAATGCTAATTAGCTGCAAAGTACACAGAACGCATGAATTACAGACACATGAACACTCAAGCATGTTCAAGTATAAAATAGCCAAATCATGTTTAGTGCCCATCAGTTTCGACAGATAATGTGAATTTCAACAAGCTGCAGCAAGTGGAAAAAATTGCAGGAATAATTTTAAAGAAGAAAGAAATCCATAAAGAACATAATGAAATATATTAATTACTGAACCATAATGAATATATATTAAAACAGTAGTAAAAGCATCAGAAAAACGCATACAGTTTACTTAGGGCTATTGCTTCTCAAATTTGTAGAATTGTGCATTAAAAAAGTGCTATAAAAGATACCCGAAAACAAGGTTTGAAATGAGTTAATTTTCAAAAAAGAGCTAAAAAAGTTTCAGGCATTGCTATTTTATCAATATTCATAATTGTACATAAGAACTGTGTGCAGAACTATTTCACTATCAACGTATTTGACTAATCACTGAATTCAAATTACATCTGGTGACAGTAAAACTCGAGAACCAGAAATTTTAAAACGGATTGTGTCTGAGACAAACAAAAATATTAAATAAGATAATTTCACCAGGTAAAGAAAAACATGTGTTATTTTGTTACTCGCTTAAATTCTTTCAGATGTTCTTTATTATCAACTTATGTTGTCTTAGTATATAAAATAACCACCCCGAATCTATACATAGGGTGTGATTGTATATACAAGAAGTGATGCTCTTGAAAACCTTCATCACACCTTGCATATATAGTAAAACTAACCATCCATATTGTGTGGCGTTTCGCCTTCTTTGCTAACATGCAATGTATGAAACGTTGCAGAGACAGGTAGTAAATTATCACTATGTCTTCTAAGTACAACACAAACAGGAAAAAGGGTCTCACTCAAATAAAAGTTAACAGATGGCGCCACTCATGCTTAAAAGACAACATTTAGTAAATCGAAGATAATGGATTAACTAAATTTGCGAAAAGTAAGTTAGTCTAACGGTTGCACAATTAGAATAACGAACAAGTTTGCCCTGAACTAAGGTCAGTGTAATAAGCATAATGGCAAGAGTAATGTAGAATCCCCCTTGCAAGAGAATCAATTTAGCAATGTGGCTCTCAGCATGCAGAACATGCCGTGTTTCTATCCTCTAAACTTTTCCTTTAAATACCCTCTTCTTTCTGCCTAATTTGAATATCACGCGAGATAGGAATTTACATTCTGACAGGAAAATGGAACTGAGAAGGATAGGCTAGCGGTTTAATATAAAATAACAAGTTAGAAAACAATACCCTATAACTGATTGGTGTGGATAAAAGTAAATGTTGTCACTTAAATACCTTTTGTCACTGATGATAAATGTCAACACCTTCTGCAGATCAATGCTATTTAAACAACAACTAGAAAACGATTTAAAGTTATATAGATATTGTAGGGTATTACTGTAACCGGAAGCTTATCTTCCAGTCCTGCAAACCCTACTAGACTGCTAGCGGCATATTGCTGAAAACAATTACGAAGTATAAAAAGTTTAAAATACATTTTTCATTTAATTTTTTAAAGTGAACAGAAAGGGACAGCTTGTGCTACAAACGAACTTCCTCTATCATATGAATAATTAAATTAACGCAACAGAAAGTTAAATTCAAATGCAGGTAGCGTAGTCGGAGGCTATACATAAATAAACCAGTTAAGCTGCCTCAGATATTCTAACAGTGCGTGTTTATAAACGCGTCTAATAAAACGCTAAAGGCGGAATACAATTTAGGCGGAGCTAGCGAGACCAGAAGCTCTAAACTATGCTTTCGAAACCTTAAGCTTAAATGCACAAAACGATCTAATTTGCCTTCTGGAAAGAAGAATTTGTAGTAAAGGCTTTAGTCACTGTAAATGGTTAATTAAAATAAAATACCTTAAAATATAAATATGTATATACGGGAAAAACTGAAGTATAATAAAAATAGCATAAAACAGAACCTTGAAAAGCAAATTATCCCAATGACACGTAAACTACAAATTTTTTCTATTCAGTAAAAACTCTTGAAATAAACTGCAATTCTCGCCTATAAACGTATAAATGAGAATAAGTAAATTGACAATATTATTAGCAACACCATATATAAAAATATTTACGTATACAATTAAAGTACAATTTCTTCACATAAGGAGCCCACCAGCGGCCGAGTGGTAAAGTCGCTGAACACTGGTAGTTCGGTCCGAGGGTTCGAATCCCGCGAACGGTCTGGCTGCATGGGTGTTTTCGTGGTTTTCCCCATGTGTAACGTGTATACGAGCCAGTTTCCCTTAGAAAGTCCTCCACGAAGGCATCCCTCCCCCTTAGGCAGATAGCCCTCGAGGCTTTGCCATAATTACACAAACCATCTTCACATAAGGATGGCCAAAATAAAACTGGCTCGGAAAATCTGTGTAAATACAAGAGGTTTAGTTTCAGTTTAGTTTATAATGATCACTAGCAAAGAACACTAGTGCTATCTGCCAAGCAACGGGTACCTTCAAAGGAAGACTTTCTGAGGGAAACTGGCCCGTATTACACGTTATACATTGAAGAAAACCACGAACAGGTCCATGCAGTTAGCCCGTTCGCCTGTAAGCGAACCCAGATCAGAACTACCAGCGTTCAGCAAATTTACCGCTCAGCCGCTGGTTGGGGACATTCAACAATGAACACGTGCCATTTTATTGTTCGCGCCATTTCATGTGGCATTCTATTGCTCGTTACATACATCTGAACCTATCGCTCTCACAACTGGTTGCAGTCATGATGATGCTCATGATCTGTCACAACCAGCTGTGTCGCAAGTTCTAATGATCTTCTTTGGGGCTTAAAGCATATTTTTCAGAAAATTTCAAAAACATTTTACCGGAGCAGCTTAAATTTGGTCCTCTGTTCGCGCTTAAATTTAAATTCCTTTTGACTGTACTTTTTTGTGTGTTTGTTGTAGTGCTGCGTATAGATTTGCTTGGTTGTTTGTTTATTTGTTACCCTTGCAGTGATGATTATGGAGCTTATTTTAATCAGTTTGCAGCCACATGGTTTCTATTAATATATTTATTTGTTGTATGGAATTGTAGATCTTTTAGTGATGGATGTGGTAGTGTTTCAATTGTAAAAATACTTCGGCTGGGGCTCGAGATGTAAGCGATTTCGATACTGACTGTGGTTGACGAAAATTTGTGTCACCGGCGATATCTGGCAACTTCTCGCCAAATGAATACCAAATTTTTGGAAGATTCGGGAAAACAAATTTTAGAATACTTGCGGCCAAAAGCTTTCACAGTCCATGCTACAATATATAAATAAGAGTCCGAGAGCTAGGAAGTTCAATTCTTAATCAGCTGTGAGATTTAGCTGTTAGCTGAGTTGAGACTTTGGCTTTACTCTGTGAGTAATTTGAAGAACTTCTGTGCAAACTTTTCTTGCGCTAAGGAATTGCATAACATTCCTGTTTTACTTGTGCTATTTACAGCTATTTATTTGGATTATTTTTATAATAAGTTGTCTATTTGTTTTTGTCTGGGATATTCATTTAAATAATTTATTATTTGTTAAATGCCAGTTACATTGGCCGTTAGGCCATTAAACTCCTTGCTTGCCAATAGCCCTGAAATTTACAAGAAAAATTTGTCAGTGCGTCACACTCGTTCAAATGTTCCGCTATCATTGTCCGTACACTATTACATACAACGGCGAATCAGTTAGTTCAATGCGAAATAAATGATTCTGTGGACAATCATTCCCTTATTCATTAAATATGCATCAGTTTGAACCCATAGCTCACAACAGCATAATCTTATATTACATGTACAGGTGTGTTGCTTAAAACAGTTTGCCTGGTATAAAGTAATGGACAACATCGTACCTATAAACTTAACTTGGAAGTTTTGGTATTCTGTCCTACCCCGCGCTGCTGACCTGTATATAATGCTAAAATAAATTTTAATGTAAGTGCTGAGGAATTTAGGATCATCATGTACGTGTTACATGAGGCTACGGATGTGACGTTTTAAGAGTTCACTGCATATTTTTAAAAATGCAATAGTATTTTAAATTTTTTTTAATTTTCAAGATTGTTTAGTGAGGTTTATGAAATAAATGAAATTGTGTATTTTACTATGCAATTCTGTAGTAAAATATAATTTTTTTTTATTACAGCTGTCACTCAAAGAAGAGCAATCGTAAAAGCTATTGAGGTGTGGAATAATCAAGTTCAATGTGTCAAATTTGTTCCTAGAAAACAAGGAGACAAGGATTATGTTTTATTCTTTCCTGGAAAAGGGTAAGAGTGAAATAATCGACATAGTACTCATTTGTAAGAATTATTTTTAGAGCAATATGCTTCAATATAATTTTAAGTACTGACAATAGGCATAACTATTATGCTTCTAATGTTTGTGGTGATTTTTAAAAAGAAGTCGGAAAGGAAAGAATGGCAATTTTACCAATTTCAATCACAAACCTGACCATTTGGGAGTAAATAAAATTTAAAGTATAAATTAAAAAAAAATGAAAAGGACATTTCCACAGAGATAACACAAATTCCATCAAACAAAGATGTGAGGCTGATTGACCATTCAAAATATAAAATGACCCCATAATAATGTTTGATTTAAACACTCTTGTTTAAGAGAATTATTTAAATATTACTGTAAATACAACTGTAAAAAGTGGCCTTAAGTTTATTTATATTGCTTTTGTTGTTTTTAGCCATGCGATGAACCTTTACTAATTGGCAACAAGCTTGAAAACAATTGAGAATGCAGAAAATATTAATTCATAGTTGATAACCGTGATAACCTCAAATTTTTATACATCCTTATTAATATTGCCCATGCATGGTATTTATCTTTAGTTACTAACTATATTACTATGAATTAATTTGAATAAGATTATCAAAAATATATCCGCAAAGATTATCAAAAATATATCCTATTTCTCGCAAACGAAGTATTATTATACTTTTATTTAAATTACTATTCTCCCAAAACAGTTGACTCTACAGCGAGGAGCAGGTAAAACGTTTGAACAGCAAACTTCATGAGTTTCATCTTTTATATCTAAATGGACAGACCGCATTCAGTTTTCGAGTTTTCCGCCTTGTGTAATGAGTAATTGAATCAGTTTCTCTTAAAACATCCCTTCACGAAATCATGCTTCCCAGTTGCGGATGAAGAAATTCTGCTCTGATTCTAAACGTAATTATGAAGCCTGCTTATGAAAGAAAATCTCATAATATATTAATACATTACAAAGACTGAACACGAACTGGTTTATGAAAGTCATTCGTTGCATGTTACAGTTTTATGAAATTCGTAAATGTAAAGTTATTCAACAGATATATTTAGCAAAATTTCGAGTGCTAATGATATTTGGACTACACAAACAATGGAATGTTTACGTGCGGAAGCACGATATTAAAATCACGGAAATGAAAAATACCTAATCGGTTAATAAAAATATTCTAATACAACACTAAAAAAGTTATTTTTAAACTAAAACTTTTTAAAATCTTTTAAAGTAAGTATTATTCGATAATGTTTTAGTACCGTAAATAGGAAATAAAAACTGCATTTAAAAATATTCAGAAAACAGATTTTAAAACAAACATTTTGCTAGTGGTCTAAAACGCAAGGATACATATTTCTGAAGGATTACGAATAATTAATATTATAATTTGAGTAATGAACATCATTTTTGCTTTTAACATTATTTGTTCTTTTCCAAAATAATACTTAATACAGTTTATGGAAATATGTTAATATTTTCTTTTAGAATAATGTACAACAAATAGCGGCCAAAGCTAACTTTGACGTAGCGTGGTGTATTCAGAATTTTCTACATAATTCCTGTTAGATCTTCGAGTTCTAATTATCGAGTTACTAATATTGACTTTAAGCTGTTGTATGGATCGTGCTTGCACACGCCTTCCTTTTTATTTGGCCGCAAAGAAACTGAGAAGTTAAATGCGACGATCGCGAACGACGGTTCAAATTTCTTCAAGTTCGTAAAATGGAAAGTCTGCCAAACATTTCCCGCAAGTAACCATTAATTACTTCTAGAAATATTGAATTAAATTACTGGAACAAAAGGCAAGTTCGATACATTAAACATGTTGTAGTATTATCGCTTTTCTAGAATAATAGAATATTAACTTTCAAATAAAGCTAAAAAATGTTTTACCCTTTGTTAGTGGTAAAATTTCTATCGTGATTTCCAAGTCTTCTGCAAAGAAAACAATAAATACAAGAAAATAATTAGTTATTGTTAAAATCATAATGCTAAATACGCTTCCATTCTGCTTAATGAAATATTTGCTGAAAAGCCCTGTAGTTTAGGTTAAAATAACACATCGAACAACGGTTATTTTAGAAGTCACACAGCAAAATTCAGCGTTATATTTGCAAATTTTTCTAGGCTTAGTTTCGATGGTTTAACTACCGAACCATCGACACTAGAACTGGAAAATTTACAAATATAACGTAATTTTTGTTATTTGACTTCTAAAATAAGTTCTATAGTACTACGAAATATTCAAATGAAAAGTGTATAACATCTTAATATTAGCATTTTCTAAAAGTTTATAGTACATTTTGCGGAAAATTCAAAGAACTGAAATAAACATACCTTTGCTTCTAAAACTTTCATTGGCAATTTCTTAACGTGAATTACATTTTTGTTGATCAACAGTTATTCAACATTGTGAGCTAGAGAATAAAGTACTCCTTCTACTCTTGATAATTTATTAATCATAATTTTCGAACAGTAAACAACCATACTAAATCTAAAATATGAATTACAACTTCTAATGCTTAATTATGCTACTCCCAAGAATATTTGCTAGTAACTGACATTTATAAGGACCACGTAATATCAATAAACTACTAATGCAAAGGATTGGCGTAGTGCTGTAAGAGGTTTCAACACTGTTAGTTCCGATCGAGTATGAACATGGCTTACTGCTTGCATGTATGGGTGTTCTTGTTGTTTTTTTTCCCGTATAAAATGATAACGAAACATTTTCTAAACCTATTTCATCTCTCAAACATATAGCTTCACGTGTTTTGTTTCAAATAAACACAAGCCTTCAATCAAGGAAAATAATAATTATAATCTTAATTTTAATAATTTTTAAAATGTTACTCATCTAGATGGGATTTAAGCTAACGCTCACGTTTTTATTCAGGGCATTAATGACTCACAGAAGAACTTACGCAATATATTTTCAAACTTTTAAGTAATTGTTTCACACTTCGAAATTATTTTCTGAATTTCATATAAGAAAATCAAAACAAAAAGGATTTAATATAAGATGTGACCCCTTCCTCACTTTTCTTGGCTTTCTGCGAAACATAATTAGTTATTTTCTCTTGCAAAATTCTTCACGAAGATATCTCTTCGCATGAGCACGGAGCTCTGATCAAACCCAGCTCTCCTCCGGACCAACTATTATAAGCCTCTTGAAATATAACTTAAGAATTTGATACCATACCTTTCCTTCTTCACAATCCTTGTAAGAAAAAGCAGGGCTTTGCTTTATCTCAAAGAAATTCCAGTCTCTACCATTATATTGCTATGATTAAAGGCCTAGGAACAATGATGCTAACAAACTGTATGTTCTACAATCTTTCCAGTTATATCCTTATCGTCAGATATTTCTTAAGATACCCGTGAAATGTGTATTAAACTGTCGCTTTGTTGTATCATTTGCATGCTGATGACACCACATTAATGTGCTCCTTGGGCTTAGAATTCAAAATAGCGTAAAACCGTGGTGCTTACTTATAGTGCCCTGAGATATTTAATCTTATCCTTTACGTAACGTCTGAAATTCAATCAAGTATTGCTGGGGTATTCATATTCTGAGAGTCGATATAGTTTTGATTCCGTTTGGCTAAAGAAATGTATTGTCTGCAAAGCAGTCTGTAACGCTCGAACCCGTAAAAACATGCACAAGGAATGAATCACCTAATACATCAAGTGATATGCAGATATTCCTATCAGTGACGGCAATAACGTTTACCGAATAAAACACTCGACAGTATAAGGATTTGAACCTCGGACTTAAACTTCGAGAAGTAGTGTGGTTTCATATTAAGTTCTGTATTATTATATATCTTCAGCATAATTATATAAAATGTATCGGATTATGCTTCGGTGGTAATAAATTCTCATAATAAATTGGTCTTATAAAATTTCTCTTTTCATATTGAGGAAGGAGTACAGTTACCGAACTGATGTTTATTTTCAGATGCTATTCCTACATGGGCCGTAGAGGTGGAAAACAGCCAATTTCCCTAGATACCACGGGATGTCTCAAAGAATCAGTTATCTTGCACGAATTGGATCATGCTATAGGATTTGCTCATGAGCAGAGTCGCTTTGATCGTGATAAATACATTAATGTTCTCTACGAAAACATACCTGAAGGTGAGTTACATTGACAAACAGAAATTTATTTTGTTATTTCAAATGTGTAATAATATTTAATTTCTCATTCTAGACACTGACATGTGAGGAAATACCGCACTAGAGGTAGAATCAGTTAAAGGGTATTTCCCTAGATTGCCTATTATAAGACATATTGTGTGAAAGTACTGAAAATAATGCATGCCATTATAAGGTATTTTCTCCCACATTTTTGCATACCTTCGTAGTGTAACGGTAGCACACTCGGCTCGGATTCGAGAGGTCCAGGTTCGAGTCCCGGTAAGGGCGTTGGTGATTTTTCACTTTTCTTGCTTAAATCTAACGACTCATAGAAACGCCGGAAGTAAAATGTGGTTGTTAATGATTCTTCACCACCAGGATTTGGCGATTGTGTTCCCTAATCCCCAGTCGCTCTTTAAAAGGGAGAATATATAAGATATTTTCTCCCTCCTTTCTGCATACCTTCAGTGATGTAACTGTAGCATGTGATGTAACTGAGGTCCAGGGTCGAGTCTTGGCGAGAGCATTGCATATTTTTCACGTGTTTCACATTTTTCACGTGTCTCCTGCAAAAATACATTTGTTTTTAATTTGACATTACCCACACATGAATATGTTCGCAATTTAAAACAATTCTCCAATTCGAATCTACCATTTTGAGTTATGTGAGATACATACATATTTACGTAAGGATATCAAGAAGAATTTTTAAAAAGTAGTAAAATTTTAATAAATTTCTAAAACACTGGAATTAAACCTTTTACTGCAAAATAAACGTAGAGGTTTTTAACTTATCTTTAGATATTTTGACGTTTTTAGCCCAAAGAGGCAATTTGCCCAGAAGGGAATTTCCTTTTGGCTTTTTTAGTTCATTCACTATAAACGGCGAATCACTTTTTAAATTGCTGCCACCAAATATTAGAGCCCTGTATTATATTTAAAGAAATTAAGTAAAAGAATCTGCATAAATTTATGCATATTTCGCGCATTGTGATAAAACAACGGTACCTAGAGCAATAATATTTTGAATCACATACGTCTCCACCCGAATATGGGCATCTGGAGGACAAAATTTGGGATCTGGAATTTGTTTTACTATCTATTTCATATTTTGTAAAGCATTTATGAGTTTTTTAATTAAGAAATTCAACGATTTCAAAGAGCGCAATAGCAAAAATATATCTCCAACTCGCGAGGCTATGTATCGGAAATTCTAAAGATTATGCTCTTTTAAATAGTTTGTGATATTACTGTTGAATTGAATTTTATCGTTTAAGTGGGAAGAACATGGTATTTAATAATTAAACGTAACAAACAAAACGTTAAAAAAACACCCGTTCCGGTCTAATATAAAATCTAAAAGCTTTCAGTGAGTAATATTTTTTGAATTTATTTACCAGTCGCGTTAATTCTTGAAAGTTCAGCTATTATGTCTGGTCTTGTATTCGTGTAGTCCCTTTCCTGAGTAAGAAATTATGTATTATTTCTAAGAGCTCCCGATATGTCATGTGGGATGGGGGGCGGTTTGTTTTTTAATGGTCTGCTCCAGAACAAGCCAGAACCAACAAAAGTTAATCCCCCCCCAATTTCGTCAAAAAATTTGAAAAGTCATTTAACACTTTTAGGGATTCAACGCAAAATGCGTTTCGAAACTAATAGCAATTCTGGGCTAACGCCTCTCTGGGCTAAAAATTTGAAAAGCTTTCAGATTTCATATTACGTTTAAAGGGGCGTTTTTTCATTTAGACACACATATAAGTTTCGAGAGCATTTTTTTAATGTCACTTTACGCTAAAAATATTTAAAAACAGCATATCTTTAGAACTTCCGATAGACAGTTTCGGAAGCTGGAGATAAAAATATTTTATTCCGTACAATGTTGCCACTGCTCATTTTGGACAAAATATGATATATATAATAAATCAAATTCTAATTCGTAATTCGCGCTTACAGTAGCCCATATTCGGTTGGAGGACTACGTTCCTCAAATTTTGATGTCCATAGGTACAGTTTTTTTTTCACAATGCAAGAAAAATACACACATTCAAGCAGATTTTTCAATATTTGATATCTTTAAATTATAATACAGGGCGATAATATTTGATGGCAAAAATTTGAAAAGTTGCACAGACGTTTATAATGAGTCGACGTAAAATGCCCTTACGAGACTAATAGTCCTGTGCTAACGCCCTTTTGGGCTAAGAAGTTAGGAAAAATAACAAAAGAGAAATCATAAAATACAACCAGAAGGTACTAATATATAATAGACCTCTGGATTTTTGTATTTCATGCACTGGTAAAGGAAAGAAGATAAAAATCGCGCGCGAGAGTATATATTATATATATATATGGTATATATTTGTAATTATATATATATATATATATCATAATTACAAAACAATTCTTTTGAAAGCAAAACATAAACATGCCTAGTATTTTCACGCATTAAGTGCAGAAAAATTATCATTAGAGACTTAAGGTAAGAAATTTAGAACTTATGTTTTACGAAGACCAAAAATTGAAATCCATAATTAACAAATTTCAAATAATCTTTATAATTAATTTCAATGTTCCCTCCTGATGAAGTAGCATTGAAGTTGATTGAATTCTTCTTCTGTTTTTATTCATAAAATTTCATTAATTTTTTGAAATGGGGTTTGGTTGTTTGAAAAGTTTTGGTTTTAACATTTTAAATTTTTTTTGTTGCATTTAAAAGATTATTTAAAAATTTTTAGCTAAGAATTTCCATTTATAGTCCTTGTGAAAATTAGTTCTAAATTTCTTGCTTAATATTATATATATATATATATATATGTAAGGGAAAAAGGAATATGTTAAAGATTAAATTAGTAACGTAAATTTCCCTTCTCTATTTCTAAAAATAGGAACCCTTCTCTGCACTGCGTCATTTTGAGAAAAATCTATGTCATATGATTCTTACGTAATTATGATGGAAATTAACCAGCTAATAATAATTTTAGAGCAATATTAACTATCCAATCAAAATGCTTTGAGAACCAAAATTAACTCAGTTTGACTTAGGATTTCATCCTGAACATTATGTATTTGCTTCCCACGTTTTGGCCTAGCTAATTGCTATCTGTCTGCTCTGCTTTCTTGCTACAAAATTATCAAAAATATAAGCCTTTTGGAACAGGCACATTTAATGTGCCGACTTGTGTGTAACCGTAACATGTTGCTGAGCTGAAACGAAAACTGAAGATTTAATCTGTCTTCGCCTCCCACTTCCTAGTCATTATGGATCTTCTGCTCCTGAATTTATTACAACTGCTTCTAAGTTTCTGAGTTTGAATATATTATATATATATGCGCTCCCGATATGTTTAAATATTTTACTATGTAAGGAATTTTCTCTTTCTTTATCACGTGATTTCGCGGAGTGATTGAATGCCTGTATCCATCAGAAAGTCGGACATGCAAATCCTGGCGAGGCCGTTGCTCAATTTTTCATGTTTTCTGTTCCAATAAATACTAAGGAACACTATACTAGTCTTTATGAACGCAGTCTGTTGATCAGGTATTTAAAAATATTTAAAACCATTCATATTTTGCATTATTGTAATTACATTTCTATTAAATAATTCATTCTGTTTTTGTTTTCTTTCGTTTTGTTTAGATATTCGTCCTCAATATGCAAAAACCGATTCTAAGCAATTCAATCTGCAAGGTAGCTATGATTACTACTCCCTGATGCATTATCCTGTTAATGTACCAGGAACTAATAAACTAGCATTCACGGTACTCGACAAAAATATTAACTTATCTTTGATGGGACATGCAAAAGGACTTACTCAAATGGATTTACAGAAAATACGCAAGCTCTACTGTTAATGAAATGTCTGACATCAGCTCAAACACGAAGTTGCCGTTTCACCTTTTATTTCCTACTTTTCTTAAAATATTTTCTCTATAAACTATTTCCTACAAATATAGCTTTCTCCTCTTCAGATTATGTATTGCAATAAAATGATTATTTCAAAATGTTCATTTATTTTAGTGTTACTGCACTGTAAAAAAAATCTGTAAGGTTACTAAGAAAAGTCGTGGAAACTCGGATGCCATGGACTATTTGAGTAATCAATAACAGGAATATTCTTAGTAACTTTACAGAGATTACACCTGTAATGGTTACAGATGTTTGACGGGTAATGTTACAAGAAGATATTCTGTAGTCATAACAAAGTTTTTGTATGTTGATTACCAAAGCATGTGTCTGTAAAGATTACCGATCTTTGATCTGTAATGTTACAGGAAATTATCGTGTAAATGTACCATGATTTTCATATGCGGTTTACCCCTGCATACATCTGTAAAGATTACAGGAAATAATAGTGTAAGTAGAACGTAATGTTTGTATGTGGATTACTAAAGGGAATATTTGTAGATTACTAGTGTTCTGCTTGTAAGGTTATTGCAAGTGATTATGTAAGAAGAAAATGTATTTTCCATTTGTGAAATATTAGAGGATATATATGTAAAAGTTGCAGATAATTTACTTAAAAGTTCTTCCAAATAATGATGCATATAGAACATATTTACGAAATACATAACTGATGTATTCTCAAATATTAAATATTTTTATTGTAATATTACTAAAAATAATTACACATGTAGAACATATGTTTCATATGAAATGTCTACAGCTACTGCTTGTAACGAAAGATACTGCATTTATTTATTTGTGAGGAAAGGGAAGTTATGTAACTATTAAGTTCTTTTAAAAAAAATACCTTAGATTTTCTAAAAGATATACAGCATTTTCTTTCAAAATATTCCCAATGTTATAAAGAAGCTCAAATTTTATGCTTTTCTTGCATCTGCATTATTTTCTTTTATTGAATATTTGGGCATCTGAAAGTTACATATGCATCATGAAATAGCTGGAGAAAACTGGTGTATTATACGTATTAAGTGGTATTTTGGCAATAAATTAGTAATGTTTTAGAATTTCTCCTTCCCCCCCCCAAAGTCCTGCTATGCTGCCTCAACGTGGCGGGGGGGTGTCACTGGGCAGAACGGGCGAAGTACGTCGGGAGCATAGCTCCTGGTAGGGCCACCCTAGGCGTGAAGGCCGTTCCAACATGCCCAGCTAAAGCATAGCAGGTGAAGAACCCTCAGGGAATTGCCGTCTTGGTGATCGGGTATCACACTCCCGGGGCCCCAGTGACCTTTCCTCCTCTCTCTTTCCTCTCCTCTTGTCTAGCTCTCTCTCCTATTTTTCTCCCTTGTGGTTTCCTCTACTGGAGGTTGGGGCTCACTGTGAGATGCAGCTACTACTCTTAGTTTCTGTTCCACCATGGTGAGAATACCGCCTATGCGTTTGCCGTGCATGGTGACCCGTAGGGTGGGAAAGGAGGATCCTGACAGTTGAGGGGCGAGGTACTGTCCCCAACACACTGCTTTGGCCTCTGCTTCTACTTAAAACGGGAGGCACTTAGCTGTCCCCGCTAGTGTCAATCGGCTGGCCACTAGTCCTATTGGTCAGTGGCTAGGGGATAAGCTCTCGGAAGTCTCCGCTTTTGGGAAAGCCGACTGTGGGGCTTCAGTTTGCGTATAGACCCGGCTAGCCCTAACACAGGGATCTGCGTTCCCTTGTTGGGCTCCATGGGGAGTGGGGCGGTCGGGCCCGAAACCTTCTCTCTTTTCAATATGAAAACTATAACTTCTTCTCCTAACCATATGGATACGAAAAATTCTGGAGCTGCTAAAAGAATTTGTACTTCGACCTTAATTAGCACAAACAAATGTCCAAAGTTCTTAGTTATCACTGGTGAGCTAGAAAATCTATCACCATTCTTCATCCATAAGCATATTGTGGCCTCAGCAGGCTAGCCAAAACACATAAAAAAGCTCCGTTCAGGATCTCTGCTCATCGAGACTACATCTGATGCACATCTTCCTCTCTCCTAAAATGACCAAAATGGGGGAACATTCTATTACTGTATCCCCACATAAGTCTTTGAACACGTCAAGAGGTGTCATTTCGGAAATAGACTTGATATCAGTCTCTGAGGATGAACTTTCAAAAGAACTCGCCGAGCAAAATGTATGTGGCGTCCGCCGAATAAAAGTCCGTAGAGACGGGCAACTCGTCAATACAAAACATCTTATTCTGTCTTTCTCCTCTCCAGAGCTACCGAAAGCCATTAAGGCAGGTTACCTGAATTGCCCCATCAAACCTTACGTTCCGAACCCACTGCGCTGCTTCAAGTGTCAACGGTTTGGCCATGCGAAGGCCGCATGCCGGGGAAACCTGGCATGTGCTCGCTGTTCTGCAGGTGGTCACGAAAGTCAGGATTGTGTAGCTGATCCAAAATGTGCAAACTGTCATGCCAATCATCCAGGCATACTCACGAAACTGCCCTAAGTGGAAAGAAGAGAAAGAAATACAGCATATTAAGACTCCTATCCTCAAGAAAAATCTCCTATCCTGAAGCTAAGAAACTTTTAGCACGGGTCAGTCAAAAGCAAATGTCTCCTATGCACAAGCCACTAAATCATATCGGTCAATAAGTACACAAACATCGCATAGCACACAGAAGAAGATACCTGAACCAAAAACAAATGACAAAGACTTAGCTGTCCCCGCTAGTGTCAATCGGCTGGCCACTAGTCCTATTGGTCAGTGGCTAGGGGATAAGCTCTCGGAAGTCTCCGCTTTTGGGAAAGCCGACTGTGGGGCTTCAGTTTGCGTATAGGCCCGGCTAGCCCTAACACAGGATTCTTCTACCTCCTCCCAAACAGACAATAGAAAGTCGAGAAATAAAAACACAAGAAACAGAGAGTTCAAAAAAGAAAATCAAAAGCTCAGAAAAGAGAAGCTCAAGCCGAAGCTCTATTGAAGGGACCTCTTCAGACTTTATCGAATCTGAGATGGAAACAGATGGAGGCAGAGATCTCTCGAAAAATGTTCTACCTCACAAAACAAAGAAACAGCATCGAAGCAATAAACATTCCTAATGGCTACTCTCATTTCGTGGAACAGCCGGGGCTTCTATCAGGGTATTGATGGCATTAAGCAACTTATTAATAAATATCGACCTATTTGTATAGAGATACAAGAGACATTCCTCAAACCTGGTAATTTTGCAAAGCTACGTAGATACTCGATGACACGAAAGGATAAGACATTCAGTAAACGCGCAAGTGGTGGTGTCTGTCTACTCACCTCAATTAATTGCCCTTCGAGTGCTCTCCCTTTGGATACTTCTCTCCAAGCAGTTGCAGTACAGTTGAGCATTCGAACACTGACTACTGTCTGCAGTATTTACATCCCGCCTAATGAGAACATTAATTCAAGAGATTTAGAGGATCTAATTGCCCAACTACCAGCTCCGTTTATTCTAGTCGGTGAGTTCAATGGAGACAATCCCTTGTGGGGTAGTAAAGACACAAACCTACGAGGAAAGCAAATTGAACAGCTACTCCACGACCACTGTCTCTGTATCCTTAACAATGCAGAAAGCACTTATTTTCATCAGCCAACAAGGACCTTCCACTCCATTGACCTTGCTATTGTTTCTCCACAGCTTTTGCCTTTTTGTTTCTTTAATGTCGAGAATTATCTATATAATAGTGATCATTTTCCTATTATCATCAGTATTACAGGAAATAGGAGTGTGTTTATACCTAGAACACCACGCTTTTTGTTGGACAAAGCCGACTGGGACTCTTTCTTACATTATGCTCTTTTTACTGAAGAAATAATAAAGAATGTGCACATTGATCAGGCTGTGAAGATCATTACAGATAAAATTATTCAAGCAGCTGATATATGTATACCAGAAACGTCGGTAAAACAGCCAAAATACCCAAAGCCCTGGTGGAATCCTGAATGCGAGGATGCCATCAGAAAACAAAGGAAAGCTTGGAGCATTTTTCGGCGATGTCCTTCAGAATCAAATCTCGTAATATTCAAAAGGGCTAAAGCAAAAGCTCGGCAGGTGCGAAGGAAAAGTCAGAAGAATTCTTGGATCTCGTATGTGTCTTCGATTAGCTCTTCAACTTCGAGTAAGAAGGTGTGGGAGAGAGTCCGGAAAGCGTCCGGTATCTACAAAGAGCACACACTTTCCATTTTAAAGACAAGGTGGTGAAACAGTTACTAGTAGGGAAGGAATTGCCAACGCTATTGGGACAGAGTTTCTCAGCCGTCTCGCACACAGTAGTAACTACCCTCTTGAATTTCTTTCCGCAAAAAAAAATGCATTGAAAACCAACTAACTAATTTCAAACTCTTCCCAATACTGAACCATATAATCTGGATTTTACTGTGCTTGAACTGAAAAGAGCTCTGTTGCAGACAAAAAATTCATGTCCTGGTCCAGATGATATTGCCTATCCTATGCTGAAACATATTTCTTCCAAGTCATTGGCAACCATCCTCTTTCTCTTTAATAGAGTATGGAAGGAACAAGTCTTTCCAAATGCGTGGAAAATAGCTTTTGTCATCCCCATTGTTAAACCGGGAAAAGACCTTACTAATCCGTCGAATTACCGTCCCATCGGCCTTACTAGCTGCCTCTGCAAACTCTTTGAAAAGATGGTCAACACTCGTCTGGTTTATTATTTAGAGACAAATAATTGTATCTCCCCTTATCAGAACGGTTTTAGAAAAGGAAGAGCAACTATCGATAATATCCTACTCTTAGAAACAGGTATCCGTAGAGCGTTCGTTAGAAGAAATCATTGTTTCCATTTTCTTTGATATAGAGAAAGCCTATGATACCACCTGGAGATACGGTATCCTTCGTGACCTATATAACAATGGTTTACGAGGAAACATGCCGATATTCATCAAACATTTCCTACAGGATCGGAAGTTTCATGTGAAGATAGGCGATACACTTTCTGACATGTTCCATCAAGAAGAGGGCGTTCCGCAAGGAAGTGTATTAAGTGTTACATTATTTAGTATAAAAATTAACTCTATTTTAAAACAACTGCCTCCAGCAGTCCACG